AGACCGATGGAATAGAAAGGCATTCGATCGCTTCAGAAACAAAGGGAGAGAACCATCATTTGAAGACTTTGTAAATTTTGTCAGCACTGAAGCAGACATATTCAGTAATCCAGTTTTTGGAAAGAACATTGATGAACAAAAACATGCAAAACAAACATTCACTACCGGTGTAGACAGTTATAAGCAGCGGTTGTGTTACTTTTGTTCTGGTAAACATGAGTTAGATTGGTGCAAGGACATTTCTAAATTGACTTATGATCGAAAACGTTCATTTGCTCGTGAACAAAGACTATGTTATGGGTGTTTACATAAGTTTCACGATAGCAGAAATTGTCATAATAAGAAAACGTGTCGTAAGTGTGGCAAAAACCATCCTCCAGTGTTTCATCTTGATGATTTGTCCCAGAATAAACCTTTTTTGCCAAATAGGGGTCCCTCAACCAATGGCTCGTATCAACAGAGAAGTGAATTACCCCAAAATAGATCACAAACTGTAATCAACGAATCACGTGGGCCTGAGCAAAACCCCAATTCGGATTATCCTCGATCTAACGTACCATCCTCTATTAGTAATGGTTGTGTGACTGCTGATGAAGTAACAGAAGATGATATTATGATGGCTGTTGTACCAGCAACTGTTCGTAGTAAAGATAGTAACGTTAGTCAGATGACATGTTTTCATGGATCACGGTTCCAGTGGTTGCATTATGACAAACAATTTAATGTCAAACTTAAAGGTTGATGGTGTAAAAATGAATATTAATCTTAATACAATGCATGGTCAAAGTAAGGTTAATAGTACTATAATTAAGGGGTTAGATGTTACTGATATAACTGGTACAAACACGATTAAACTTCCCCCTGTATTTGCTATGGATGATATTCCAGTTTCGACTTCAAGGATACCCAGACCTGATGTCACGAATTGGCAGTATGTAATGATATTCGTGCTATTGACACTTGTAAACAATTTGAGCGCATTTTAGAATCTGATTTTATCGACAACAACAATAATGGACAAGATTATTCTCAGGAAGATAGGAAGTTCCTTGATATTGTAGAGAATGGTACAGTGTTCCGTAATGGTCATTATCAAGCCCCCCTTCCCTTTCGAAATTTGACAATATTTATATACCCAATAATAGAGAACAGTCGTTCAAACGTTTACATTCATTGAAACGTAAATTCGAACAATATCCTCGATATAAAGATGATTACGTGAATTTCATAAATGATTTATTAATCAACGAGTATGCTTTAAAGGTTCCTGATAATCAATTAAATACTGTAGATGGACATGTATGGTACATCCCACACCACGGTGTCTACCACCCACGTAAACCGGACAAACTCAGAGTTGTATATGATTGTAGTGCATCATGGATAGGTTTATCCTTGAACTCTGAACTTTTGCAAGGTCCTATATTTACAAACTCTGTTATAGGTACTTTAATTAGATTGCGTGAGCGCCAAATAGCCTTTATGGCAGATGTAGAAAAAATGTTCTACCAGGTTAAAGTTCCCGAAAGTGACTATGATTATTTACGTTTCCTTTGGTGGCCAAATGGTGATGTTAATTTACAACCGGAAGAGTACCAAATGACTGTACATATATTTGGAGCTATTTCGTCTCCGAGTATCGCTAATTACGCTTTAAAACGAACCGCTAGTGATAATCCACAATTTGGCCAATTCGTTACAAATTCTGTGCAAAGAAACTTTTATGTTGACGATCTACTTAAATCGTGTGACAATGAGCAAGAAGCTGTAAAACTTGCTAATGACTTGATAGAAATATGTTCTTTAGGTGGATTTAATCTCACTAAATTTATAAGTAATAGCAGAACCTTTATCAACAGTATTCCTGAGAACAAACGTGCCAAGGACTTAACGCATCTTGATATCAATTACGATGATTTACCGACTGAACATGCTCTTGGTGTCCAGTGGAACATTGAAAAGGACATTTTCAGTTTTAAAATTCAGTTAAAGGAGAAATCTCTTTCACGTCGAGGTATTCTCTCTGTAGTTGGGTCTATTTACGATCCTCTTGGTTTTCTTGCTCCAGTGACTTTAAACGCTAAACGTATTTTGCAAGATTTGTGCGCTGCAAATCATGGCTTGGATGATGAAGTTCCAAAAGATTTTGGGCAAAGATGGAACAAGTGGAAAGAGCAACTTTTCAATTTGGATCGGTTAGAAATTCGTAGTTGTTTCATTCCAGCAAATTTTGGTAACGTTGTTAAACGCGAATTACATATATTTTCCGATGCCTCGTCCATTGCTTACGGTTCAGTATGTTACCAAAGAGTGTTTAACGAAAGCGGTCAAATTTATTGTGCATTTATTATTGGTAAATCGAGGTTAGCACCCTTAAAACAAATGACAATTCCAAGATTGGAACTTTCGGCTGCGGCTTTGTCTGTACGTTTATCTAACATGCTGTTAAAGGAACTGGATATGTTGCCAGAATCAATTACGTTCTAGACTGATAGTACTACGGTTTTACAATACCGGTACATCAAGAATGACTCTTAACGTTTCCACGTTTTTGTCGCGAATGGTGTTAGTTCAATCAGGGACTCGTCAGAGCCCGATCAATGGAAGTATGTAAATACGGCTACGAATCCTGCTGACGATGCATCAAGAATCATTTCGGTTCAAAACTTTGTGAAGGACCCTCGTTGGCTCATGGGGCCGGAGTTTCTCTGGAATGCGGACGATACTTGGTCGGAGCAACCTGAATTACAGAGAATCGGTAACGAAGATCCAGAGATTAAACGTGAAGTATCAACTTTTGCGATCCTTTAAATAAGTTAATAACATATTATTCGAGTTGGTTTCGACTTAAACGTGCTGTAGCTTATTTGCTGCGTCTAAGATGTATCTTACTTAAACGTGCTGCAGATATTAAAAATGTTAAACGAAATATCCCTGAAGAATTAATAGGTGAAAACGCGCAACGTCATATTGACAGTGAAATTCAAATTATAAGAAATCGAAACGAGAATTTTGTAAATCTTAGCGTAGATGAATTAAGTGCTTCGGAAATAGCTATTGTGAAATATATACAAAATCAGGCATTTCCTAATGAGTTGAAGGCATGTGGTAAAGCTCAAAATGTGTCTAAATCAAGTGCATTGTATCGATTAGATCCTATCTTTATTGGTGGTTTATTAAGAGTCGGTTGTCGTTTGCGAAATTCAGATCTACCGGAGAACGTTAAACATCCAATTATCTTACCACATTGGTCATGTTACCAATCTTATCGTTATGGATACACACAAATCTTTAGGTCATGCTGGAAGATATCATACGTTATCTTCAATACGTGAAAAGTATTGGATCATTAATGCAAATTCTGTTACTCGTTATATTATTGCCAAATGTGTTGTGTGTCGAAAATTACGTGGTCCTATTATGAATCAGAAAATGGCAGATTTACCCATTGATAGGGTTACTGTTTCTTTACGCTTTGCACGCGTTGGTGTTGTAAAGGAAGGGCGCAAAGAGTTAAAGCGTTACGGTGTTGTATTCGTGTGTTTATCAATTAAGGGAATCCATATCGAGATAGCATCTTCATTGGATACTAGTTCGTTTATCCAAGCACTTCGTAGATTTATTGCTCGACGAGGTCAGTGCGAAGAAATTCGTAGCGACAATGGCACTAACTTTTGTGGTGGTAAACGCGAACTTAGACTAGAAATTAACAAATGGAACAAGAATCAATGGAGGTATTTGGGATCGTCAGATTAGGACAATAAGAAAGGTTCTCAACGCAATACTTTCTGTAAATAGTCACCCAACTTTAAGTGAAGAATCATTTCGCACATTAATGTGTGAGGTAGAGGCAATTGTTAATAGCTGCGCTTAACTTTCACATCTGATGATCCTAACGACTTAGATCCCTTAACCCCAAACCTAAATGGTTACTTCCCCCAGGGCAATTTCAGAAAGAAGATGTTTTTGCACGTAAATCTTGGAAACAAGTTCAGTATTTAGCTGATAGTTTTTGGCAACGTTGGCGTAAGGAATATTTGTCAACTCTGCAAGAGCGTGTTAAGTGGTCTAAGCCTCAATGTAATTTAAGTATAACTGACATTGTGCTAGTTGTAGATGAAAACTTCCATAGAAATCAATGGTGTATGGGTCGTGTATTAGAAACTGTTTGTGACGCAAAAGGTTTCATTCGTAGCGCAACTGTTAAAACTCAAAATTCTGTCATACGTAGACCAATTGCTAAATTAGTTCTATTGGTGTCTTAAATTGGTTATAGTTTGTCTCATACCATTTTGATATTATTAGTTACATTTAAGTAATAGTTTTTGTACATAAATTTCCTTCTGTGTCCTGCCTTGTTTGATTTGTTAAACAATTTCATGTTTAAGGGGCCGGTATGATACGGCAGAACGTGTAAGCCCATGTAGGCCTATTTGTATAAAACGAACGCAACCCTAATTTAACGATGAAGACAAAACGAACTTGCAACTTTCTTTAATAATAACGCCGCCATTGTTTTCACAGATAAATAATAGAACGCATACATAACGCCCCATATCCCCTCATAAGTTGTAAGTTTTAGTCCCAAATATGTATATTAATAACGCAAAACGCATAGAGTATGACTATAGTGAAGGTCAATTGCTAGCTTAACGTATTAACGTAAATAACTAACGTGTTTGTCATTGTATCGTAGACCGTGGGCCTAGGCCTACTTGGTGTCTGTAATTTGCACGTCATGTCAGCTTATTTGTTAACCAAAGGCATTGGTGTTATATTTACGTTTATGAGTAAACACTATCTTATAAATCCTTATTGTATTTTCAGCTAAACCTTGTAGTCGTGTATAATCGTGTAGGCTACTGTAGAAACGATTAACGTCAACATGTGGTCGTGTAGGCCTATGCTATAATCAACTCAACGTTTGTCATATATTGTCTTGTAAACGTATTAAAACTGTATTTACACATGTATGGAACTGATGGGAATAAACATTTCAATTATGAACGGTGTTTCAATGGCGTAAACGTGGGGTAACGTTCCCCGAGAAGAGTGGGCGTTGCTTGCAGCAACAACCTATATTTAATTATGTGTAAGGTTTTTACCTGAGCATGAAGTTTAAAATCGCATGGATGACAATAAAGTTTTGCTACCGATTGAAATAAATAACCGTTATTATCTAAACATACATTGGTACCAATATTCCTCGACTGTAATAAACAAAATAAATATCAATAGTATACACATAACTTTTCCATCACTCAATGCTCAGAACGGCATTTCATAATTATTAGATTTGTTGCATACATGTTACAGGCAATAACTATATAGCAGTCGGTCAACTTTGAACTCAACCACAGCGAGTAATTTGTATGATCAAACTGAAATCTGCAGCATCATTTATGGGCGAATAAAAGTCAAATCTTATTTCTATGTTGTGAAAAACAAAGATCAGTCTACACTTTATTTTAAAGCTAAAGAAATAAATCCAAGCTATGTCTGTGTCACAACCATGAGCTCAGAGCATAAATAGTACCAGGTTTTTTTTATCGGTTTGAAGATAAATATTTTGGAAAGAAACATACGGAACCCCAGGCGCTGGCATTTTCATCATAAATAGCTAATTCTGGCCAAATATTATGAAAAAACCATGTCATATTTTTACACTGAAGCCTTTCCTTTAGAGCCAATCTTTCACTAATATCACCTGCGTCGATATCCTGCAAGAATCATTAGCAATGAAATAAATTTATGGGCTTTTATTTGCTTTTATTATTAACATGCTAGCCTTTAACGCTAGATCTATATCAGTAATGAAAGATCTTTAAATCACCATGCCTGCAGATCCGTGTCGGCTTCAGTGAAAAAAAGGTCATCAGCAATGAAATTATGAATTCTGTTCATAAAAGCCAAAATGAAAATGTATCAGCATATAGGCTATGGCTAAGACTCAAGCAGACGTTTTTGTACTGGGAACTATAATGCTTACCTTCATTTCTGGAGAAGATTCATACACAAATCTTTTAAATGGACCCATCCACACTTCAACAGCTCGCTTAGAGTTATAATTAGTAACTGCTTTTCGACCACCAGGAAAAGAATACGGCTGACTTCGAGCAATATGACCAAAATGAGAACATGGCAAATGAACCAATCTACCGCCACATAACCATACCTAAAATAAAGTAAACATAATGGTCGTGGTAGACTTTTGAGAATTATCTTCAATCAAAAATCAAAACATTGTTAAAATGATGCCCTTGGAGCCTTATAAAGTGTTGATTCCAGATCAGCTTAACCAGTTCAAGACACAGTCACAATCATCATCAAGTTCTATTTTGAAAATTGTATTCATTTTCATAGCAAATCTGGTGAATTATGTCACGTTACTTTCATCATTCTTCAATTATAAATCAATAATATTATTAATATTAAATTCTTTCACGATTGAGAGATAAGGTAACATTTTAGAATGTTTCATGTTATTCGAGTTACAGGAAATTATTTAAAAAATAACATTGTATCAGAAGAAGGTTTTTTAAAATAATTTTGTTTGACCCAGTTTGCAAATTATACGTCCAAAGTTTCATAGAGTTAATTTGATATCTTAACTCATGCAAAAGAGAAATAACTCTTACTAGCACTTAGCTTATACATTGTTTAATATAAGACGTATTATAAGAGTTGTAATGATTGCTCTGTTCTAAATATATCTGAAATTGTGGAGGCCAAATTTGTCAGTAATCTTGTAATACCGACCAAATAGCTTTTTAACAGAAATTTTCAATTACGTTTAAGAAACTTTCGGTCTAGCCTTTTCTGAATGCCCTACAATGTAAACGTGAAAACATATCCGACACATCTGGTTAAAAAGCAAAAAAAAAAATCTTCCAAGAGCTTACCCTCCATGTCATCTCTAAATTTTCACCACCCCATATTTTCATTCCATCATCATAACCACCAATCTCACTGAAATATTTTCTGTCTATTGCAAATGCTGCTCCGACCATAACAGTTCCTCTAATTGAAAAGAAAAGAAAGTTAGATCATTGGTGATTAAGTTGAGGAAAGTTGAAATACTTTTTATCGAAAGCTCAGAATGTAAGAGGATTTGTACTATGAAAGTGAAATTAAATGAAATTTACTGGAGGGGTAACAGCTCAGAAGTAGCCTAAAAGGCTTTAAATATCGACGGATTTGTTACGTGCACAGCGTGTAAAACATTAAGGGCCCGTTTATTGCTCTATAACGATTTTTTGCCAGGAGGTATAACATAGTTATGGGGAATTCAGCGCTTTAATGTATTAAAGATTTTAATGTAGGCTATAATGTAAGTTCTTACGGTCTGGGACTGAAATCCTCTGGTCCTATTTGATCTGGCCGAAAAAACGTTTCAAAGAACTCAAGCCTCCAATCAAATCCATATCTAGTCAAATAACCATTATTATAGGCATATTCAAAATTTTCACGGTTTACATAATCCAGTACACCCATTGCAACAGTTTTTCTATTCTTTTTTATTTCTGTTAATAAAGGTTGGATCCTGCAATAATAGTGATTCAATTAACTAAACTATAAAAACTATACCCACCTTGATACACAGCGGTCAGAGGACACTGAGACCAGCTTGGCAAACAGTTTATAGTGGAGTCAATACCAAACTTGGTATACAGTTTACAGAGGGCACTGACAGCAGATTGCCCAAATTTCTAACCGAGTATCTGCCCGAAAAAAACTTGCTTTCGGGGCCCCTCCTTGGGCTCCGTCACTAGTTTACAGTAGACACTACACCGATACGAATATATCACTAGGGTACTATGTGCATTGTGGTAAGCAGTTTGCATAGAGCTTTAAGACCAACTTGATTAGACAGTGACCAAAAGCTTAAAGTTGTTATTGAGACCAACAGTGAGCAATGGTAGGGGCCTACTAGCTTCTGTCTGTACCAGGAATGTCCAAGTTTGTCCATTTGTTCGTGTTTCCATCTATTTAATCATCGTCTTCATTCCTAAGAGAATACTGCGCAGAATGCTTAATATTTCAACTCACCAGTCAATATTCACTTCCATATGACTGTCAAATATAACAATAACATCACCAGTAGCATGCTTCCAACCAACTGTTCTAGCTTTAGTTAATCCGACTCGTGTTGGTAAGTGAGTTAAACGAACTAATCCACGAGGGAAATATGTATCTATATACTCATCTAATGGATCTTTCAGGATTTCTGGAATGGTAGAAGAGTTCCTTTGATTTTGATAACAATTCTTGTTATATAAAAGCAAAAATAATCTTAATGAATACAAAATGGAACTGATGTGAAGAAGGCTACAGTGAATAGGGCCTATACTAGCTGATAACACATACGATATCTAAGGGCCAAGACACCCCGACAGTTTATAAACAAAATTACTGTACCCATGGTACTGGCATCATCAATTAGAATTATTTCTTGAAGAAGATGTCTTGGTGTTCTGTTAATAACACTGTATATTGTTCGTAATAATATAGACGGCCATTCATTAAAGAATGGAATAATCACACTGGCTGTTGGTAATTCATCTTCATATTTCAATGCTGCACATCTGTAACATAAATAAACTCTATTATAAGACTGCAACACTAACAATATAAATATCCTTTCTGAGAGAAATTCATTTTAAGTTATAGAATTTGGATGAGATTGAACCTTGCTCCCTCGGATCTCTTAACTCTTGATATTAATCCGTATTGTACACGATCCTCTGTGTATCTTAATCTTCGTGCACCAGCAACAAAATATAAAACATTTTAGGTCATTCAGTGTAGCAGGACCACGGTTATGGAACAAGTTACCTGAACAGTTAAAAACCTGTAAATTTGTTGACTCTTTAATAGTTAAAAACACATCTTTTTAGAAGAACCTAAAACAACTGAGGGTGTGTTTGTATGTGTATAGACATTGGCTGTAATGTAGAAATATTTGTTTTTGTGAAGCGCCATTGAATGGTCACGTCTAAGGAATGATATTGTTATTACTATGCTATGATAGTGAAACAAATGGAAAATTATAATCAATCAATGTTCTTCACGACGTATTGGCCCTATAAAGTACACACATGTTACGTACGTGACATTTGACAGGTTTCCTAATAGGAAGGGACACAACTCTAGTTATGTATGACATGTTTCAACTATCTGGATTTCGTTAAACCGCATGATTTTAAAGGAAACGGGAATGGGCGGATAAACGAGGCTCCACTACTAAAGAAATCCATTGGCAAGGTTAATGTCCCCCCTTAGCCAGTGGCAGAGCCAGGTTTACGTCCGAGGAGGGGGGGGGGGGGGGGCGAAATATCTGAGATTGCCCGAATTTCTAACCTACCTAAGCAACTCGTAGAGCAATAAGCATAAGCAACTCGTAACGCAATAAGCATAAGCAACTGGTAGCGCAATTCGCGCTCATATACGAATTTGTACGAATTAAGGTCATGTCTTAATCTAATGTCTAAAATGTAGGGGTGTCATTAAGGGCCGACAGCCGGCGAAAGATGACGCCTATTCCAAATCGCCGGTTACTTTCAGAACGGTCAGAAAATAATCGGTTTGAAATTAGGACCATCGCTGGGGTTAAAATAAACGCAAATAACTATGAATTGTATTTGAAAGTCACCAGGAATTATGCAATATCTATATTATACTGGTCAATATATTTAATATACGCCAGTAAATATCAATACGTTGGAGAATGAGTTCGATATCATACACCGAATACGGGAAGGCCTATACATATTGATATAGTCTGTCAGGCTGTTGCATAAATTTATATATATTTTTGTTTCTTAAACTTGTCACTACATATGGTGTGTACTTGTTGATGCATTATTTTGTTACGATGTTGCTCTTTTCAAACTTGTTTTTGTATAACTATTAATTGATGTTAGTATGTCATATTTGTATCACTTATTATTATGTATTATTTTGTATCCTGATGTATGCTGCCCAAAAAGGGCGAACACTACAATAAAATATCTATCTATCTATATATTTTAATACAAAAGTTGTGACTAATGGCATGGTCGTCTACTTGATGAAACCGTCACATTAAAATTGATTTAAAAGTTTTGGCCATAGACCGGAGCGGACAAAGGGCATCATTTCTTGGTCGAGAAGATTGTTCGCGTATAAATCTCAATCTGGGAAGGCAAAACAATTAGATAAAGTTCTAAATTTTTTGTTCTAATTTTGTACAGCATTATAAAATAGCTCTCCCAGTATTTTGTTCATCTAAAGTTTGAGTCTAATCAGGACTAGAAAGAAACGGCATCGGCGTTCGAAGATCTGAAAGGCAATTTTTATTGAAACACATCGTGTAGTGGCCACGTCAATCAAACTCAATGAAAAAAAGTAGTCTGTTTAGGGGCGAAGCTTATATTTTCATTCCGTTTACACGCTGTTATCCAATCAAATTGCGTGATACCGTTTAAACTTAAATGTTGGAAAATATAAATCTGTTACTCTCGATATGATCAAAGTAATCAAGATTTCAAAATTTGATTAAATTGTGCTTGTACACCAAATGGATGACGCCTAAAATTCGGAGACTAATGATTTGATCTTAGAAGTTTACGACTTTAGGAAAATTATAATGAAACTCTGCTTTCTATAAAGAAATGTATAAATTTGGTATTGATATTTACTTGACATCCACGGCAATATTGTTATTGTTTTTTTAATTATCAATTATAATGTATATTATTTTATATAATTGATGTACAATTACTAGTAATAAATTAATTATATCTATTTATACTGTTGTCTTAAAGGTTAAAGTTTTGGGTGGTACATGCGGTCTTTTTTTGGAATACATTGCCCTTGATTGTGTCATGTATGGAAGAGTTTCTGTGACAAAAAATATGTTTTGCTCCGATGTGGCTTTTGCCCGGAGAATCAACATATAGCTCTGTGTCAATGTCAATGAAATCATTTTCTTGATTATTGTTCAGAGTTTGGTAATCTGTCGTTTTAGAATTTACATTATGCTACTTCATTGACTTTCACTTTGTTGAAAAAGATTGTCCCAGAATCATCTTACTATTAGGAAGGCTATTACCAAAAACCGACGTCAGATAGAACGAATTGTTAATCATTATGGATAAAACGGTATTTAGTTGGTTCTCAAGTTCTAAAACATATATATTTTCAATCAAATTGCACTAGAAATTTAGTGTATGATGACGTCACTTATTAGCCTACCATAATAATATGGAATAATCAATAAAGTAAAGGTTGCTATTAGTGACGTTATCAAACACTTTTTTTTCTGGAATTGCAGGAATTGCAGAAGTCTGACTGAAAATTGGAATGAAAAAAAAATTAATGCTATCAGTGTCCCCGATACACATTAATTTTTTTAGAAAACCAATTGACAATCCCTTTAAAAACCTGTTGGCCTACAAAGCATATTGTCTTTTAAATATTGACCTATTCACTGATAGAGAGAAATATAAATTATGTTATATTTGATAAGATAATGTATGAAAAGCAAGATAAGATAGCAGAACTTGTCAATACAACTATCTCAACAATTTTAACTGAAATGTGTCTAATAAAATTCATGGTTATTTGTCTATTTGAATATACATTTTTATAGGTATTATAGAAGATACTCTCCTATAGAAGCACTGGCCTAGGTCACAAGTAGAGACTATGGATTTCAACATGAAAACTATTTCAATCCAAACAGAATATGTTTTACTGAAGATTATTTAAAGATTATTACTTCTGGTGAAATTACAAGAAAAAATATATTCAACTCAAATTCCAATGCAATTGTTTCAGGGAGATGATGAAAGGGGTTCTAATCTTCCATGAACCAATACATTACTAAAGTTTTTATTTCTTTTTTATGCAGTGACCAAACGTTTAGTATAAACGTTTGGAAATTCATCTGGAGCTCATTATAACAGCGTTTGACAATGGCAGAGACATTTTTAGCTGTAGTATTGTAGGTGGCAATGAAGGGTATGATTTGGTTGTCATATTGGATGTTTAGGCCATTTATAGGTATGACTGTTTGTAGTTGGTCTATCCAAAAACTCTCCCTTTGTAATCGCTTGGTTTTTGGTTTAATGTTGATACAGGTACTTTTTCTATAGGCATAACTAGAAGATCTTCAATGGAATGGTTGGGTAAATTGAAATGATTCGCAATCGGTCTATCTTTCTTATGGAGTATATCGAAGCGATGACCGCTAAGACGAGTACGCAACGCGTTTTGAGTTTCGCCAACTTAACTTCACATTTTTTACAAGAAATTTGGTATATAATGTTGTTCAAACCAATGTGAAATAAGACCTTCTTCGGAACTGTAGATGGTGATATCTTGGATAGTAGGTGGATGATGTGCTGAACACGCGCACCGGGAAAGGATTCAGCTTGCATGATCAATAGAGGGAATGTTGCCACGTTCGAAAAACCAATTACGAGAGTTGACTTTATTATATTATTAGGCATTGACCATTTGGTTTTATCTTTTTGGTTTTCGTGGCGTCTTGGTTTACATTGTGGTGGCGAATTCAGACTCAAACGACGACGAGAGGTTTTATTGGTTTTGGGTTGTGGAGTTTCTGGATTGGATCGTGGACTGGTATTTGGCGGCGATATTTGACAGGATATATCTAACATTTGAAAGTTCTGTATATTATATGCATACCCAATTTCAAGAATTCGGAAATGATACGGACAAAATAGGATGAAATTGAATTTTCATAAGCCAAATTATGCTGTTAAGAATGAAGCAATCTTACCCTGGAAGTCTTGAGTCTGGAACGTGTCTGTTTACTGGAATCAAATCGCTGGCATAAACATTAATTTGGAAATGCTCTGTTAGTCCTTTCACTATTTCTTTCTCTGGTGCCACAAAAATCAGTCCTCTCCCATTTTCACCGGATAACATGGAATCGTGATCATCATAAAAATCAATTAATGGATTTCCAGTCAAAATATCTGAATTTTTCCGAAATTTTTCAGCGGTTATTCTGACTTTCGTATTTCCGAATCCTTTTTCAAGAAATCTGTATAACATTAAATCTAACGTTGGTTTGTATTTGTGAAAGTTTCGTGGAATAGAAATATTTTTCGGTATAAATATGTGTGTAGTTCGTTGAGATTTCATGTAAAATCTTTCCACGCCATGGAATCTAAAAGACACATTAATATACAACAGAAATATAGCTAAACTTCCAAAAACAAGCAGCAAGGTATATCTACATAACAAACGGTTAAATGCACGCATTATTACACCTTGTAGTTTCGAGACTGATAACACGTTCACTTTACACCATAAATATAATCACTGGTACACTGATAAACGATAAACTTATGTTTTGCATAATAGTCGAAAAATAACCGAAACCATTTATTGTAAACACCAACAACGATGATTCTGTATTATGATATTTGTAATATTTGCTTCCTTTCGAACCCAGATCACCACAAGTCTATAAAGGACACGCGAGTCTAAATCATAATTATCGCGACACTTGAAGGACGATAACCCAGAAATTTCAAGGTAAAATAACAATAAATACAATATCGATAAACAATAAAAAACTAACCCGTTTTCGCGTTTGAATATTACAAAGACAAATTATTGACTAAAACAGTTGAAAATAGTTACCAACTGTATGTAATCAACATCTGTAATAGCAAAACAAAACGTGTCAAAACAAATTATGACAAAATACAAAATTTTTATCACTTTGATTTTGGTTGCCATTATGGAAGCCTGCTGTGGCCATATCAATTCGACTTCTCGAATATATATATATAAAAAGACACGCCCACTGGACGCTTGCTCGCTAACCTAGACCTGAATGTCCATCAATCGAGATAATACGTTCGGATTGTTCAACCCGTTTTCTCCTTGTCCGTGATGCAGATAAGAGGGGCATGGAAAAGTGTTCGGTCGTTCGGAACGAACAATAAACCGAGTCCCCGTGTGCCACAGGCTGTGCGCGTTAAAGATTCCTCGACAGTTAGAAATCGAAAATGAGCAGACTAATGCCAATGTGCTGGCACAATTTCCCTCATCGCAACCTGCATGGCATCCCACGTCTTCAATAGCCACATGATGCACAAAAGTAGGACGTAAAACGTCATTCATTTTATTTCATTTTTTGATTTTAAACAAACATTAATTGGCTGTACAGTAACAGAATGAAATATTCAACCTTCCGCGCATCCATACACTTCTTTATAACCTTGGGTGATTGAAACACTTATTACCAGGTTTTGTCAAAATCCGCAAAGAATTGGGTCTTCTAGAGTGTTTACGAGCAGTTGTGGACGGACGAACGGAAGGGTGCCGATATCAAATACATGAGCAAAATAACACATGCAAGGAACAACAGAAAAACTGATTATTTTGAAGGAATATGTGATACTTTTGATTAAGATTATTTTTGTATGATTTTTTTGAATTTTAAAATTATTTGATTAAGATAGCTTGCCAGGCAAGGTAATATACGCCCACTGACAGCTTTGATTATAAATAAAAAAAATACTTTGCAGTACAGTAACAATTACCAGTAGGCTATGAAATATTCAACCTTCAGACATTACACTTCTTTTGGACTTTTTCAGGCGATACTGGAATTATCAAGTTTCATCAAAATCTGTCTTGAACACGTTTTTAAGAACAATGGCAATATATCATTCAAAATATTTTTCGATTTTCTGATTTTCGATAGGGTTCATCCTTGGGTGATTACATACACTCACACCAAGTTTCGTCAAAATCCATTAAGAATTGTGCCTTCTAGAGTGTTTACGTGCTAAAAAATTAAATGCATTTTCAAGAGCAAGGGCAATGTGAGATAACAAACAATCACATCATGTTTCGTCAAAATCCGTCAAGAATTGAACCTTCTATTTTTTTTACAAGGTAAAATCCAACGCGTTTTCAAGAACAAGGGCAATAACTCATATTTTTCGATCTTTTTGCTTTTAAATAAGGTGCATCCCTGGGTGATTACAAACAACCATACCAAGTTTCTTCGAAATCAGTCAAGAATTGCGCCTTGTAGAGTGTTTAGTAGCAATTGTGGGCTGACGGGCGGACCGACCGACATGGGTAACGGCAATATACGCCCTTTCTCAATTTCATGTGGGCATATCAAAATGAACAATTTCTTCCAAATAATGTGTATTGTTAAAAATGAATGAAAGAATGCGAAAAAAAAGGCGAGAAAAAAGGGGAGGAAAAAAAGGAGAGAATGCAAAAAAGGGCTAAAAAGCGAGGAAAAAGGGGAGAAAAATGGCATGAAAGGGAGAGTTAAAAAGACGAGAAGTCGAGAAAGCGCCTTTTTCCTCAGCTTTTTTACCCTCACTTTCTCGCTTTTTGTCGCTTTGTCATCTCTCGAATTCTCGTGGGCGAGAAGTCGAGGGTAATATGGCTACGACCGACTTCCATAGTCATTTAATATCTTCCCTAATCACTTTTTTGCAGTGCGTTGTATCGAACATTAGCTCTAGAATTTTTTGGAGCGATTTTGCTCGGGTTTTATTTTCAGTATCTCGCAGGAATATCCAATATGATAGCAGTTACAAAATTTTGAATTTTCTAAAATTCATAGCACTGATTTTTGGACAGAATTTTGCACATTTTGTAATGATAATAATTGTGGACCATCAACTAAGTTTAAAAATACATTTTAACTACGTTTCGACGAAAATAAATGCTAAAGTGTAAATCATATTGAAATAATCAAACTTCAGTTTTGTTTGTATTAGTTACCCCCCTTGAACCTTACTCTAAAGAGTATTACCGAAATTTTGCTGTGTTTGATACGGATCGGATCGCTACAATAGATGAGTATCGAATGGGTGATCAGTGGGTTCTTTTTTCTCGGCGCGTTAATGGACCAAGTAAGAAGGATGTAATAAAAAAAGCCATTTACTTCCATCTATTCGCAGAAACTCTATCTACTTGTGTTGCTTATTCGGACAAACTTTGTATACTTGCGTTAACTATTAGAACAAACGCCATCTACTTGCGTTACCTATTCACACAGACTCCATTTACTTGCGTTACTTATTCGCATAAACTCTGTACTTGTGTCACATATTCACACAAATTTCTTTCTACTTGCGTTACCTATTCGCACAAACTCCATCTACTTGCGTTACCTATTCGAACTAACTACATCTATTTGCGTTGTCTATTCGCACAAAGTCTATCTATTTGTGTTCATATTCGCACAAACTCTATCTACTTGTGTTAAATATTCGAACTAACTGTATCTACTTACGTTACCTATTCACACAAACTCTATATATTTGCGTTACCTATTCCCACAAACTCTATCTACTTCCGTTACCTATTCGCACAAACTCTATCTATTTGCGTTACCTATTCGCACAAATTCTATATATTTGCGTTATCTATTCCCACAAACTCTATCTATTTGCGTTACCTATTCGCACAAACTCTATCTATTTGCGTAACCTATTCGCACAAATTCTATATATTTGCGTTATCTATTCCCACAAACTCTATTTATTTGCGTTACCTATTCGTACAAACTCTATATACTTGCGTTACCTATTCGTACAAATAATTATATTGATCATATTTCATACAATTTAGAAGAAACAAAATGAAATTTGTTTTTGTGGATTTTTTTCGTTCATATGATTTTAGAGATTTGTATAAATGTTCTACTTGAAGCTTTTCTAGATCTGGTTTTAAGTTTTATTTTAGTATTCTGAAATAATTAACTGATCACATGTCATTTGATTAATTTCATATTTCTATGAACTCGAGTCCAGACAGGATTAAAACTGAATATAATTGATGGATATACTTACTTTTGTTGTCAATTTTAACATGCATTTGTGATGACTCTTCATTCTTGTCAAATTAATACTTGACACTGAACAAACAAATGTGCTCTTAGTTTTGAAGGTATATTGTTCTTAACCTGAAACTTGTAGTCATGCAAATTCTATGGCTTAAAATGTCACCACTCCTTCAACAAACTTCTTAACATCTCCTAATTCTTCTTAACAAGAATACAACTAGTTCATCTATGTCTACAGCAAAATCGAAAAACTACAACAATCCTTCTCTGTTGCTTAATATTACTGCAACGCGCGTGTTAAAACGAGGAGAGAGCGAACAACCCTGCCGTATCTCGACAAATCCCCATGAAACTACCCAACGAAATGGTGCTGATGGCTTTGTTGACAGTTGAAATGATTTATATACCGGAAAATGGAAATGGGAAAGGTACAATACCTTCACCAGAAATAGTGGAATTCAGGCTTAGGAAAAACAGAAATTGTTCTCGGGCTATAAACACTTTTCTCACCTATCCCATTTAAAAATGAACTATCCTTTATTGAATTAAATAAAGCTTCCTTCTTTCTTCTTTTAATTCTTTCTTAATTTAATTGTGCATGTAAAAGTAATAACAGTCTGCCAAAAGTGTAGATGATGAATATAAATATGCCTACAAATATTTACTGTATATCTGTACCTCAGCAATATCGGCAAAGCTTGTACTACTAAATTCATTTACGTGGTTTTATCAAATTATATATATGGAAAGGCTGACGTTAGTGTGTCAGAGAATGCAAAGGGGCAGAATGTTTTTGATAAAATGAAACATGGAAAATACATTACAAGACGTAAAATATAAGTATATTCCTGAACAATGGCTATATGTACAAAGGTGTAATCTCTAAAGTCTTCAAGCAAGATATCTTTTTCAGACCCTTTTCTTTTCTAGACACCAACCTCCGAACAATCAACTGCTGGTCTGTATCAAACATAAGGTAAGAAGCAGCAAGTTTCGGATTAATTGTAAGCTTTGACGTATTTTTTGCTATACCGCAAAATATATAGTTGCAGTTGATTTAAAAGTTTTTACATCATTTAATTGTAGTGTGACA